ATCATACAAGTGTATGTGTGTGTGTCTGTATGTTTCTATACTTCTAAATATATATATGTATATATATATGTATATTTACTAAATACATATATATATGTGAGTGTGTATCTATATATATAAAAATCGTATTTATATATATATATATATGTATATATATATACATATACGTATATGTATATGTATATGTATGTATATATATATATATATACGTATATGTATATGTATGTATATATATACATACATATTCATACATGCATACATTCATACATTCATATATATGTTATATATATACATACATACATACATGAATATATATATATATATATCTATATATAATATATATATATATATCTATATATATATATATATATATGTGTGTGTGTGTGTGTATGTGTGCGTATTTATATATATGTGTGTGATGTATGTATATATTTATATAGATATATATATACATATATTACACATATATCTATTTATATATATACATATATATATATATAAAGGTATATATACGTATGTTTGTAGTTATTTATATACATTTTTATAATTATTAAGTGCATACATACATATAAATATATATATATATATATGTGCGTGTGTGTGTGTATGTATGTATGTATATGTATACGTATACGTATATATACATTGTTGCTATTTATATGCATATATGTACGCACGTAGATATGTATAAATATTTTATATACACATACACCTATCATATGTATATATATATAGTACTCCCAAGCCCATACATGTGTAGTAATATGCACGTCAATAGTGATCGCATGGTTGCTTTGAGAATTTGGAGCTGACAATAGTGGAACATCACCTGTACCTTGTTTTAATCAAATTTGTTTCGTACAGATTTAGAACACTTTCCATTGTCCCGCAAACGAGGTTAACTTAAAACACTTTTATTTAGGTCAAAACTACTGACAAATATACTCATAATTGCCTATTTATTTGCTGACAACGCATTCCAAATAGCTTAGAATATTTCAAATCTTCACTCCACATACATACATAAATACATATATATATTTGTAATTGTAAACTCCGTATAAAATTGGTAATGAAACTGTATGGCACACAGAAGCAGTTGTTGCGCAGCCATCAAGTATTTGTGTACAAAGATGGAGTAGCACGATCAGTCACTTTTCTGTATCTTTGAGTTGTTTTTCGCTTGGAGCTAGCACGTGATCATAATGAATGGTATATCTGCGGATCGTCATCGACTTCTGCAAATAGAACCCTAGCGAGATACTCGCTTGCTTATAGTTGTAATCGCAGACCTATGCTTTTGTTTTATCTCCGACGCTTACGATGCCCGAAACGCCATACCGATAGAGATGGGTGATCGCGATCGAGAACCTATTCGCAGTCTGATCACTAGTCCGAAACCTTTATTTAAAATGTCTCTCATCGTCATCCCAGCCATTATACTAACGACGAACAATGCACCCGCATTCTCACAGGTGTCTTTCTGACTCGCGTATCCTGGGTAGTCATCAAAACCACTGACTCCGCCTTGCTAGGTCATGTTAGTACCAAGGCGCTCTCTGCATCAGCCCTGGCAGACTTGTGGATGCAGTCTACCGGTTGCTTCTCCCAGGGCGGTGTGTTGGGTATGTTTGTAGGTCAATCCGTGGGCGCCGGAAACCCAAGAATGGCCGGTGTATGGACCCAAGTGTCCTTCGTTGTCATCTCAGTCATTACAGTCATCATTATGATTACATGGTCATTGACCGGACCACTGATCAAGCTTCTCAAGCCGGATACAGACCCGGAGACCGTCAGTATGGCCGGTTATTTCGCTATGATCCTCGCACTATCCCTCCCAGCGCGGAATTTAATGATGCAATTAGGTCAATACTTTGCGGCACAGGGAATGGTACGTCCCCCGGCCATCGCCTCAGTCTTCGCCGCTGTCTTCAATCTCGTTTTTGGGCTCATATTTGTCCTGGGTGTGGGTGTCGCGGGCTGGGAGGGTATTGGCTTCATCGCATGTCCTATTGTCACCACTGTCACCGAATGGGTGCAAGTAGCCCTATTTGTCCTCGTATTCTGTATCTGCCTCAAGATGCACAAAAGCTCTTGGCCGGTCGAGGGGTGGGTGTGGAGTGAGATCACATGGGCGCGAGTGTCTGAGTTTCTGCGCATCTTCTTGCCTGCCGCCCTGTCTCTCTCCAGTGATTTCTGGCGTATGAGCGTGGTTGGTATCTTGGCCGCGTCTCTGGGTGAGCTTGACCTGGCCGTATTCAATGCAAGTTATCGTATCCTCTGGATGGTTCTCTCGCTTGTGGGTGCGTTGGGAGCTGCTGTAGGTGTGAGGATAAGCCTGGGTGTGGGTGCCGAGAACATTCCTGCGGCGAAACAATCTATTTTTCTGGGTAGTACCTTGACTCTAGGTTCGCTTGCTGGACTGTCCGTAATCATATATTTCTTCATCGGGCAAATCGCACATATCTTCTCAAATGACCCTATCTTCATATCTGAATTCGTTAAGGTCCGAGCGCCACTGTGTGCGTTTACCTTTTTCATGAATCTCTCTGTGTACCTGGAGCGTATCCCCATGAGTATGGGCAAGACCAAGGAGGCTTTGTACGCCGGTCTGATAGGCAGCTGGTTGGGGCAAGTGCCCGGCGCTTACATTGCTGTCACCTACTGGAGACATGACTTGGTAGGACTGTACTGGGGTGCGACGCTGGGATATGCCATGTTATGTGCACTTCTCTTTGGTATTATTATCAGCACCAATTGGGAGGATGTTGTGCGAGATTCTAAGAGTAGAGTCCAAGCTGACGTTGAGGAGGAAGAAAAGCCTCTATTAGAAAACTTGTAGTTAATCAAAGTATAATTTAAATGTATCTACTCAGTGGATGTTCCTCATATGTATCGAAAGGACACAGATAATAATACTATATTCTACGCACCGGTGTATACCGATTGTGCACTCTCCTATAGTATCCCATGGTTTTAGCTTCGGTTGTGTACAGGAGCTTGGCAATAGAAATAAACCATAAGGTGATTGCACGCGCTTGGTGCACTCAGAGTATAAGTTCAAGTCTGGAGCAGCGCTCTTTTTGAAGTTTGCAATTTCTGGTAGAAATTCGTGGTTTCATTACATATGCTTGCAGATTCAGCATTTGGGCACCTTTTGACTTGCATTTATCTCTCGATTGTCTCGATGTACACGAATAATCTAAAATTTTCCAGCATTGAGTGCCCAAACAGATATCGTATCCATGAACTGTTGTATCGTATGTGTATACCTAATTCCGACAACAACTGTGCACGTTTTCGATACGCATGTCTGGGAAAGCATGTGACCTACAACTTTAGTATGGATATAGGAAAATGCGAAAATTGGTTGGCGGAGAAAGAAGTTGTACACATTATATAACTTGACACGTATACAAACATGCACTCTTTTAAAACTATATGTTTGTAATGAGAGGCCTTCTGTTGATATCCTTAAATGGCTGATGAAAATCTTCGGCATGAGACGATACTCATCTGCCGTGTCTGTACCAATGTGTTCTGCAGGTATGAAGTATATACATAGTTGGCTAATATGATCTTTTAAAGTTTTGTACGATAGAAGTTTACAAGTCTACACGCACATGTAAAAACAGGTTTGTGCATTCAGCTACAGATGATGTATGTGCATAAGAATGATATATATTGCTGGTCAGTAGCAGGTACTATCGTAGATAGATGAAACCGAGACTCACAACTTTCACAATGTAATATAAAAAGACTATGGTATAGTACGAGTGGAAGGTGAGGTACCATGAAGATGAGCCACAAAAGGCCACGCTCAGTTGTAAGGTTCAGATATGCTGCTTCGCACATTTGAGTTAGCTTGTACTATAGTGAACATTATCTGGAAGGCGGGACTATGAAACTCGCACATTTGAGGTAGCTTGTACTACAGTGAACATTATCTAGAACGAAAGACTATGAAAAGCATTTTCGCTCTCCCCGAGGACTTATGATTTCATAATCCTCGTCTTCGAAGGGTCCTAACACCCCTGCGTCATTTAAATGTACGCTCTCTCTCTCTCCTGTCATAAGTACACCCCACGTCATATAAAAGCAAAAACTGTAACCCAAGACCCAAGAACCTAAGACCATATAACCCTAACCAGATAACTTTGATTTTTTTTTATACTACATATTTATAGATATAATTTTCATGAAGGCATAAATAATCAACAGAAGAGATAAAAGTGGGTTCGAAAAGGGGTACCGAACTTGCAATGACTGATTTATCACAGAGAGGCACCGAGCCACAGACGCCACAGACTCGCAGAGTCTGAATTTAAAATATCAACACACAGATATCAGATAGCACAACAAGTGAAGAAAGAATATGCTGAGCGATAAGATGGAAGCTTCAGGTGCGTATGACGAGGTTGAGGACGTGAAAATCTTTGGCGGAGATTCAGGTAGCGCGGAAACTACTGATGGTAGTGTAACTAAAGATCTCAAACAGATGCAAATTAATGACACCGACAAAGCTATTGTGAGCGAGAATAGTGGTGAGAAAGTATGTCAGAATGAGAAGAGCAACGCTGAAACTTACTATATCGCGTCTGCATCGCTAGCTAGTGTACCTCAGTCAAGTACAGGCACAACTAAAACTGAGCAGAACAGAAAGGCATCTACGTTACACGCGGTTAAATCCACACAGGTGAACTCGGTTGACGATCCTTTAGCGATGCTGCGTGCGAGTGTGGGTGCGAGTGGTACTACAGTAGATATTTCCAGGGATATAAGTGACACAATAGAACCCTCTCTACCAAGCATCTCACCTGAATCATCCTCTAAGCGCAAAAATAGGCATGCAATCAACGCTGATAAGCAAACCAGCACACATACGAGACCTTCTAGTATTCATAAACCTACATCCGTGGTGAGACCTCGACAGACGAAGTGGGCTAGAGACCCTACTGTGGCCAAACCAGCACAAAGCTACACCTCAGAAAGTGCGTATGATAACGAGCGTATGAACGGTGCTGGTGATGATGATTCTGTCATGCCTACACATTCGAAGGATTCGTCACGCCTCTCGTCTGACTACGGGAATGAAAAGGATGCTAGCTCTGACAGTACAAGTAGTAAACAACAGCGAAGTGATAGGTACAACAACGGAAACGGACTAACATTCAGCACGGATAGTGACACGGAATCCGTAGAGAGACGGAAAAGCATCCGATCGAATGTAGATACTCTCACCCGTAAGAAGGCCAAGTACAGTATTACCATCCCGGAATGGAAGCGGTTTGAAAACGGGACAAGTGGCTCGATGTTAGCATACTTACCGATGACGTCCGATGTGATCCTGTACCGAGTGCGGGTAGTAGTTAAGCGCAACGCGGCCAGAACAAGCTCCAATACGACTACATCTAGCACGAGTAAGAGTTCCGAGAGCAGTCAGACACCCAAGAAGCCGAAGGTGGTGATCCTGTACCGTTCTTTCTCGGATTTCCAAGCGTTGCATGCAGCGATCAAGGAGCATTATCTTACTTTCTGCCCCCAACAACAGCACACCATCCCCATACCTCCACAGAAGGAGTGGCTCTGGAAAGACCACTCTAATCCTGGTTTTCTCGAGAATAGACGAGTGTTGTTGGAGCAGTGGTTGAACTCTGTGTGTCTGTTGGAATATGCCGAAGATTGTCCCAAATTCAAGACTTTCATGATGCCCAGCAAGGCCTGAAGTGTAGCATCCGTCAGATTTCACACACTAAGTATACAAAAGTGCACTGAATATAAAGTATGTATATGAAAGGCTTTTCGAACTCTTCACGTTTTGGAGGCTAGTCGAGTTTGTTAGTTTTTAAAATCCTTTCCAGACTTGTCACAACTAAAGAACCTTAGGCTACCCAGGATGGTCTCGGCTTATATTAAAACTTGCATCTGTGAGCGTATATTATTGTACATATATACATACATGTACCCTCATATTATTACAATTAAACTTGGACGTGAACGTTCATATTCATATTTATATATATTATAAATATATATATT